TTACTGGATGAAGGCTTCAGTAACCTTTCCGCGGGAGTAAGGATTGTTACAGGAACGTTAACACGGTAGTTATATTCTACAAAGTTGACTTGTTAACACTTGTAAGTAAAAATTTATATGAAGTTACTGTTTAATTGAATTGAGCTATTTCATTTCTACCTCATATATTTAGAAGATTAATAATAATTTAAAACAGAATAATGATTCATTCCCATTACTAGGTGGCGTGCTTTAGATTAATCACCTGACAAATGATTAACTTACCTATAGCATGTGGACTCTGAATAAATGTCCAAGTTGAAATGAATCTAGCCAGAACAAAAATCTTGTCTATCTCTCTGGCTTTCTTCCAAGTAAAACCAATCAACTTACTCGATGTTGTAATGGATACTCAGCACCACAAGTCACTAATAATCACAATTAAGTAATTAACAATAATGAGTGGATACTTAATTAAAATTTCATTGTATGTCAACTCCTTGTGCTTCCTTAATATACATGATCCAGAATCAAATGAAAGAGATGTTTAGCTTACGAAATCAAGTTTGTTATGACTTGAAAATGAGGGAATTGATGCAGCCTCACGACATTAATAGTATTCCTAATTTCTGAATTAGAATATATCATCAACAAACTAAACAATGTTAGGTCTAATTTAGTAATAATTTTATATCCCTTAAATATACACAACATTCCCTAAAGGTAAAATTCCTTAAGCTAGTTATTGCTAATCAAAAGTTAGGCCTAATTGCATACCCTTTGCTTAGAGTAATATTCCCTAGAATTAGCTAGTAGTACTACATTTTATTCCAATGCCTTTTAGTGTTAATACCTTAAGATAGCATTATATATAGCTATGTAATTTGTTTAATGCATGGAATACATTATCCCAGAAGTGAAGGACAAACCATGAACCCCTCGCTTTCTCTCTCTCTCTCTCTCACACACACATATTAGAATATGTGTGAGAATATATCCATTTAATTAGAAAACTAAATCAAGTTAATTATAAATAATCATAATGGCTTAATGCATGGGGTAAACTAGATTCCTGCATTAAAATGTGATGGGGATGGGGAAGGTGGGCATGACACATTCATAATAGAGGCTACTTTTTTCATTTGATTCTCAGAGGGGATGGGAGACAGCTTAAAGCCTATAGTGGCACGGAGGATTTGTGCCCACCAAAAATCTTTCAACATTACTCTAGCCAAAAGAAGAAGAAGGAACAATTGGAATTTAAAATACTACTAAACTTAATTCTTAAATGAAGAAAAGATAACAAGGGAAGGAAGGAAAGAAAGATTTAGATGAGCTGGCTTTGTCCTCCAAAGTCTGGACATCTGTTGATGAGCTGGCATATTAAACTATGATTCCCATCCTAATTGGATATAGGAAATTTGAGAATGAACTATATGAATCTTTATATAGTTGTAGATGGTGCCAACTAAGCATCTTTTATCTTCATATCCATAATGGATTTTGTTGATCTTTTTTTCACCTTGTTTGAGCTAGTAGTATTCTTACTCTTCTCAAAAGCTACAATTTGTAAAGACTATCATGTATATATATATTCATAACATACTTTATAGCATAAATACTATCATGTATATCTATTCATAACATACTTTATAGCAAGAAACTAAGAAATTAATACGTACATCACTCACACACTTATTTTGTTCATTTGGATACTCGAACTTTTATCATCCATTTTGGAAGGTATATGAGATACCACTAGGTAACAAGACTCTTGGTAATATACTTCATACTTGTTTGAGCTAGTAGCATTCTACTCTTCTTAAAAGTTATGCTTTGTAAAAACTACCATGTGTATCTATCCATAACAGACTTCATAGCAAGAAATTAACACCCACACTACTCACACACCTATTTTGCTTATTTAGAGACTCGAACTCTCACTATCTACCTTAGAAGGTATAGGAGATACCACTGGACTCTTGCATCTCTTGCATTCGTCAATTTATTTTTAGACAAAGATGGTATAACTATTTTCTGGTTTTCATAAAATAAAAAAAGTTAATTAATTAATGATAGCTTCAAAAATAATTTTCCTTTCTTTCCTATACCCAAAATAATAATAATAAATAAATAAATAAATAAAACACGTGATATAGCAAGTGAAAGCTTTTGGGATAGACTGAATTGAATTAAAAGGGAGTTGGGTACCACATGGGAAGAGTCTGTGTCGTTAGGACCTCCATGGAATGCAAAAAGAGGAACATAGCCGGAGAACAAAGGGCAAGGCCTTGTGCTTGGATGCCAAAAGGCAGGCACAAAAACTGCATGTATCGTATGTATATGTATGCCTTTCCACTCACCACTCAAAACTGTAGCACGGGAATCATATATATCATAGCTTTAAGAATGAAAGTTTAATTGAGGACCACCAAAGAGTTAAGCCACTCTTATCCATTTCAACCGTGTCTCTCTTCTTTGAACACCAATCCTGTCCAATTTACCTCAAAAAAATATCCAAAACACATAATATAATCACAATATCAAAGAAGAAAGAAAAAGGTAGTCATATTCAAACTCTCCTTTTAACCAATTGGACTTTATTTATGGAGTAAATATTGGTTATGCCCGGTCCTTGCACAACACGTGCGGGCAAGAAATGTTATATGCGTGCATCGACGGTTGTGATGTGCTCAATGTACGGTGCAACGGGCATAACGAATATTTACTCCTACTCATGACATGATGTCAGGTACGTGAACTAGCCCACATTCCTCCTCATATAATTTCCTTTCGACAAAGTCTTAATTCGGAGGATGTATCATTTGCTCATTAATCAAAAAGAAAGTGTATTATTAGATTGATTTTTTATTTTTAAACATTGACAAGAAATTCACCCACGCACCCACATTGCTCCTAAGGAGACTTGTGATACATATCAACCTTCTGTTTTGGAAGGTGAAAAAGTTCTACCAAGTAACCAAACTACAGCCTAAAAAAATTCAAAAATACAGACACAGACACGATACAATCACAGGGATACGACAAATCTAAAAAATATATAACACAAATACATATAAATATGTTAAAAAATATAATATTTTATTATATTTACCCGTTTTTATCCATACAATCATGAACAAAATTACGAATTAGGAAGTTAGAGCTAGATGTTTGTTATTTTTGTATTTTAAAATTTTATATTCTTTTTTAAAACTTAAACTATAGCATATTTTAAAAAAATAATTATAAAATCACACTTTAACATATAAAAAAAATTTAAAACGTGTTCAGGCGTTAGAGCTCTTGGAATTCATTAATTTGTTTATTTATATAATTAAATGAAGTCTATCACTTACAAATGAAGTCTTCCAATGCATGATACACTTTTGTGTGGTAGTGATAGTGTGCCCAAAAAAAATCCAAATGATAGATGAGACCAGATGTGTCCTTAAAAGAGTTGGCAAGGTCATTCAAATGGAGGACCGCATAGCCCATGTGAAGACATGTGGGTAACTGGGCAAATTTTTTGGGAAGAGATGAAGAGGGAGTTGGGACAAACAACAAGAAAGCAAAGAAAAGACCCTCGAATTGGATGGTCCGTTGTCTAGATAGTACTACAACCTTTTGGTTATAAATTACATACGTACAAGGTTATCCATATCAATCCTTAAATATGAGTACCATTAGGGTCCCAAATTGCAATAATGAAATACGGAGTACTCCGTAATACTTTTTAAAGACCCCCCTTTTTTGTATGAAAATCTGATGTGTATACATATACATATATATACGAATATAAATAATGTAAAATTTTCGTCCTTAAATTTATCTAGCTTTAAATTTTTCCTACATAATTCTTACTCCTTGCAGCCATCCCATTATATTATCAGTACTTTTATCCTTCAATTTCTCTAAAAAATATTAAAAATATAAGTTATATTTATCTACTCTCTCTTCCACGCATACCTTTCAAAATAAAATAAAAAAATCTCTTTCACACATCAATTTCTTATTTGGAACTTCTTTTTCAATTGAGGTGTGTCATAAGGCACTATAGACCTATGCCAAGTGTTTTTCAGATACTTTTTAAGTCAATGTTGGTTTTTGAGGATAAATATAATTATATCGGACAAACTATAAGCATCCAATAAATTCAATAATTTTGCTGATCGATTTTTGTCACTGATTCTGATTTGTAGCATTAATTAATTGATTATTTATTTTCATCATTCTTTTCTTTTTATTATAATATTAGGTTTATTTTCATCAGGCACAAGAATATCATTTACTACTCTGATTGTCTCTACTAAACGAAAAATATGATAGTGAATAGTAATGTGTTTGATGCTACAAATGATTAAGTTACACTCTTTCCACAAGTCTATATATAGAGAGAGTGTAACTTTTATATATATATATATATATATATATATATATATATATATATATATATATATTCCCTTCTATATCAACAAAAGATGATTGATATTACTATTAATCAGGTACTCTCCATTTCTCTTTCGAGTTTCTAATAACCAGAGAAATCAATTAAAATCCCTTTCTGGTTTACCAAAAAAAAAAAATTCCTATCTGTCATTTTAGTTTCACGTGGACTGCACGTGATGAAAGTGGGGACAATTTTTTTGATAGACAATATGGAAATGCAGTTCCTTTCTCTTCTTCCTTTCCGTTCTCTCTTTCAGTGGGAGTCAATGAAACAGTGTCCCAATATTCCCTGGTGAAGTGTAAAGGAAAGCAGTCCAGTCGGCACAAGATTCTCCTTAACCCAACCCTACAGATGGCACGTGTGCCCTCTTAATAAATAATTATAACCAAACAGGACCCACAAAATCTAGATTCTATACCAAAATCAAACATACTTGTTTTTAACCCTTATTTTTCAACCACTCTTGAGAGTATTTCCCTCTTGTTTTATCTACCCCATGACTTAGTATATATACCCCCTCTCCACCCTCCCTTCCCTTCACCAAACCGTTCCTTCTCCTCCTACACCAATACCCACATTTCAACACACTAACACACACACAAATTCCCCCCAAGAAACTAAAAACAATGTCTGGTGTTTGGATGTTCGATAACAATGGCGTGATTCGCCTTGTTGAAAATCCGGCAGCTCAGAATAATAGCACCAACAAGAAAAAGGCTTTAGTCTACTTACCAACAGGCGAGGTGGTGTCGTCCTACTCCTCCCTCGACCAAATTCTTAGGGGGTTAGGATGGGAGAGGTACCATGGCCATGACCCCCAGTTCCTCCAGTTCCACAAGCAATCTTCCATTGACCTAATTTCTCTTCCTAGAGACTACTCCAAGTTCAACTCCGTTTACATGTATGATATCGTTGTCAAGAACCCCAATGTCTTCCATGTACGTGACATGTAAGCATTGCTAGTTTTACTGTTTTGCTAGCTGCAAATAATATATATATATATGTATGTGTGTGTTGCATGTGTAAGTCTTAATTTCTTCCTTTAGGACATGCATTGGTGTTTAGAGATGGCTGCAGCTCCATTTTTGACACTTTTGATCTTCTTTTCTACTATGTTTATAATGTAATAAAGTGTGTGATCGACGTATTGTAATGCTCTGTATGTTCATCGGTGACTTTGTTTCGAAATAATAATACCATGAAAGTTCTTGTCATCACTTATAGCAAGTCTTGCAATCCACTTGGCAATATCACTCTCTGCCATGTCACTTGGATCAAACCATCACTATGATCACAGCAATAAATTCATACTATCAACCAATTGTGATAATATGAATTTTACGGTTAGCAGAACCCACTCATAAATTTCTCTTCTGCAATAATAAGGTACTATAAAAATTTATTACTGTGATCATAACATGCATGTGTTTGATTGTTTGGTCTTTAAGTTCTTTCAGTTAGCATTTCTCTTATCTAACAATGGCTTAAACAGTTCAATAGTTCACTTTTGGCAGAAGCTAATCTCATGGGAATGTGAATAGTGAAAAAAAAAAAAACAAAAAAACAAAAAATAGGTGTTTGGCTTGATTCCCAGTCAAGCTCATTTCAATTCGTTACGACATGACATGACATTCAAAAAGAGTATCTAAATGATTCACTGATAATAAACATGAAAGAGAGACAGAGACAGAGAGAATCATTTGCACAATCATAGGGAGTACTCTGATAAATGGGTTGATTGAGGATGACTGTAAGAGGTCCACAGGAGATGGGGGTTCACGTGAAGTGAATATAGATGGACAAGTGAAAAGGTGTAGATGTGTCAAGATGGTATGTGTATATTGACATAGTTTAAAGCTGGTGCACGTGGCACATTAGAACAGAGTCATGTGATCACATCTTTTTGCTGTATCAAACATAAAAAGCTTTGAAATGAAAACCAGAAATGACATTGTCGTCCAAACTATTACATGTCCATCAATTGGAGAATCAGGATACTAACAATCAACAACACTATCTAGTGTGGTTCGAGGTTGCAAGTCTATATCTCCCGTGTCAATGGAGTAGATTTACACAACAAAACATAACCTGAATCCATCGGTCCACAATTTAATGGACTTTCTTCAGTTAATTGAGTATGTGAATGCGAAATTGTCAATTTATTAATGGTATAGTATCCTCGATCGTTTGTGGGCATTCACATGTAAAAAAACGTATATCAAGTGGAAACAATTGGTTAAAAATTAAACTGGTTCTACCTTTATATCCAAACAAACACATATATTACCATCATGATTATTTTATTTTATTTTAGATATTTTTATACATTCATCCAAAACATATGGTTAACAATAAGAAAATAACAACATACAAGTCTTTCTAGAAGATGAGGAAGGTTTGATCTCTCAGAGCTGATAGTGAACCCAATGTTTTGATCTCTTAGAGACTAGAGGGTGGCTATTTTGTTTTCCCTTAACTATAATCTCTGCGTAATGTCCTCTGTTTTTGTTTATACTCTGTAGCTAGCTTGGTTGCCAATTAAACTCTGTTTGCTCTGTTTGGCACGTTGTTGGTCGATTCTATCTAGTTTCCTCCAACTATGTTCGCGGATAGGACTCTGATAGTCAATTCTACTGTATTGTCGATTCTGATACCTTTGTTCTATTTATTGTGATCATACAATTATACTCTGTTTACTCAGGTCTGTTTTCTTGTTATAGTACGATTCTACTGTGTACTGTCCTCTGTTTGCCTCTACGTTCTATATTGGCTTCAGTATACATTGTTTCTTATCTTACGCTGATAAGATCATGTTATCAATTTTACTGTGTTTACCCAGGTCTGTTGTCTCTGTTGATAGTACTGTTTTACTCTATTTAATTGACCGTCGTTACGAATAGATTGTTGTTTTCTCTAATATATATATATATATATATATATATATATATATATATACATTAGTTGCTTTAAATAGTTGCTTGTGCTTTAATCTCATATATTATTATTGTGCTACAAAGTGGGACAAATTGCTTTGGATTCACCTTTCACCTTTTGTATTTATAACTTGAAAGGTGAACTTCCAGAATGGTTTAAGTCTTTTTAGAAAGGTATAATAAACCTTTTTTTTAGTAAAGCTACGCTTTTTCTTAGAAAGACATTTTCAAATTGCTCTATTACTGTAGATTAATTTTGTATTTATAACTTGAAAATGATAAATGGTTAAGTTTTATTATAGAGAGATATAAATCTTCTAGTAAATATTTTCAAATGTAAACACCATATTCTAAAAGTTAATATACCATTTTACAAATTAATTTGAAAATATAGTGAATCGTACATTAATTGTGTATATATAAGCAAGGAGTGGGTTCCAAGAGGTAACTTTCTCTGCTACAGATTACATTTCTATGTTGCATGGGCTAATTACTTAGTCCAAGTTTTGAATGAGAAAAAAGAATGGCCTTTAAGTTTATTCCGGGTTCATTTTCATTTGCGGATGTCTTAACAGTGGTTGCTCTGCGCTAGAGTATAATAAATTGAATCCACATAATTGGGCCTTTAGCCCATAAAATCTATGAAAATTATAGGTAAAACACTGTTTAACTAGTTTATTTTATTGTTTTGTGAACCATTCCTCTTGTCTCTATTTCAATTTTGGAATTTATTCAGAAATCAAAATTTTGATTTCAGACTCAAGTTGTTGAGTGCGGTGCTTAGGGCTACAAAATCTTAAACAATTTTCAAAATTAAACTCCTCCTCCCTTTAAAAAAAATTTCTATAAATTTTGCCCTACTTAGAACCACAATTCATAACACACAATCAAAACGCATAAAATTTGAGCATTCACTGTAATATTATAGTGCAAAATCTCTATAGCCGAAAAAGGAAGCACCATATTCACTTTTGCCTGAGTCTATGGAATTACACATGAAATGTCACAGTCGACTTGCATACCTTATCAATAGTCATGCCAAAATTTGTGCCCAACATACAGTCACCTAAACTTCACTATATTGAAGCTAGTTCTCCATCTTCCTCTCTTGTCATCATAATACACCCATTTTCAAGAAACATATAATTATTGCTATTTATAGTGTTGAAATAATGAATGAATAGTTATAAGGAATATTTCCATAAAAATAGAGTTTGGTAAGTCAAAGGCTGGAGTCAAATTTCCATTTTCCAAATAAATGGAATTTTATGAAAGGCTAAGGTGGACACGGAAACTTATTACGAAAAGACCCAACTATCCTTTCTCTCTCTTCATATCTCTTTATGATTGTTTACTTTTTCAGTCAAAGCTTCATTTGCCTGTCTTTATAAATCTCTTCATACCTGAAAGTTTATGATGAACTGAGTCACAAGCAACGATGGAGTGTTCTTACCTGCGACAAGCACGGATTACAAGCAACAATAGGAGTTGTACTATTTGTTAAGTTTGGAGATGATCATATACCATATAAACAGCTTTTCTGTAAATGTTTGCTTTTATTAGTAAATTACAAACACAAACAGTGTTGCTAATTTCTTCTATCTATTAATTTTCCAATCCCTCACCTTCTTTGCATTTTCAACACCAATGGCGTGTGTTTCTTGGAAATCTGATGACCAAATCAAATTATGACAAATGAATTACATAATTCAATTAAAAATCAACAAAATCAAATCAATATATTGATATATATGGCAGTCCATAAATATAGTTCGTACAATAACAAGATATGTATAAATAAAAAGGTAAAACAACTAATCGAGAGAGATGGTACTGTGCATTCATCTTCTCCAATCGAGAGAGATGGGAGTACCATACACATTGCCCACAGACCTAACTGTTGCAAACATATCAAAAACACATGGCGCGTCCCTCTTTCCATCACCGTCCCTGACAACATCTCATGCAACCACACCCACGCTGTTAGACCCAACCATGCTGCTCCGCCGTTGTCCAGACCAGGCTCAGACTCGCGTCTCACTGGTAAGTTTAATCCTTGCTTGTCGTCGGTAAGAACACTCCATCGTCGCCATCATCGTTGCTCTTGACTCAGTTCATCATAAACGTTCAGGTACGAAGAGATTTATAAAGATAGGTAAATGAAGCTTTGACTGAAAGAGCAGACAATCACAAAGAGATATGAAGAGAGAGAAAGGGTAGTTGGGTCATTTCGCAATAAGTTTCCATGTCCACCTCAGCATTTCATAAAACTCCATTTATTTGGAAAATAGAAGTTTGACTCCATCTTTTTGACCTTTGGCTTACAAAACTCCATTTTTATAGAATTATCCCTAGTTATAATGAATCTAAACCATGAAAATTATGACCATCATTTGCATTATAAAGGCCCCACTCGTGAGCAACCAAATACCCTTGAATTTTTTTTATTTTTTTTAATATATAAAAGATATATAACATGTGAATTGGTTCAAATCTTTAGAATAGTAATGTTTAATATTTTTAATATTTTTATCAATTAAAATCATACTAAATTTACTCTTTTTTTATTTATTTATTAATCAACCCAACACAATAACTAATTAATAATATCATTTCTATTAATTTCTTTCTTTTTATCTCTTAACTAATAATATCATACTTTTTTTATTTTTTTCACTATACCAAATATAATCTCAAAGTTTAAGAAACATCCACTAGACTCTATTCTTACCAAAAGTGTCTCTTCTTGGCCTTTTAACCTTAAAGTTACATGCAACTAAAGAGGGTGTTATTCAATGGCAAGTGTGATCAGTATAGGGTACGAGAGAGGACGTTTTCTTTCACTTGCTACTTTTGGAGGAGATAAGATAAACATCAAGTGGGACAACTTGGGATTCTCAAGTGGGCACTTCATGGCCCTTGCACAAATATGAACACTTGTTTTTGTCAATTATACGTGTTCTTTCAAAGACCCTAAAAACACCTCCCCATTCAACAGACTCCAAAAACATAATGATAATAATAAAAAAAAGAAAAAAAAAATAAGACATATTCACTCTCATAATATATATTTTTTATTAATAAAATGACAAGCTGCTAAGATTTAATCGAGAATCCAATCAAATACCATTAAAAATATATAAAGATAATTGAAATCATGTCAAGTTTAACTCTAAACCGATTTTATTATTTTCACTGTAAAGAAAAAAATAATTATCATCAATAATGAAATATTTTTATTTTTTATTAGGTAAATAATTGCACACACAAATGTAAACTCGAACTCGAATTCCTCGTCTTCCTTTCATTATACCATCTGAACAAAGTTATAAAATACTTTTTTATTTTTATTAGACACGTTAAGTCAGATTGTTCTCAAAATATTGCAAAGAAAAAGGAAAATCCGAAGATGGTTTGGTCAAGGTCAGAGAAGAAGGGCCTTTGCGTAAATTCCCGGATGATTGCCTTTTACCATTTTAACCTTCAATCTCTGTATGAAAATGAAGAAAGAAGAATAAGACTTCTCACATTTTACCTACTACGCTTCTCTCTGACCTCCAAATTTGGGAGATGTTTTCTTCGCCCCAATACGATCACTGACTCTTTCTCTCTTTACGTTCTCTGTAATTTCACTGACCAGGTTCGATTCTCTCTCTCTGAAATGATCGGTCCATCAATATCTCTGCTGCGTCTCAAGTTTGCTAGTTGACTTTTACTTTTTTTCAACTATGAAGGGTTTGATTGATTTCCTGATATTTTTATATATTCCATTAATAATTTTCAATGCATTTTGTGAGATATAACCGATACTCGTGTTTAGTGTAGATTTGCACCTTCCCCGGAAATTTCAGTCCTTTGTACACATGAGCAATTTTATTTTTTATATCTTTATATTCTCATACATAATATGGCATATTGAATTGTATGAATTGATCTAGTTCAGATGATAGGTTATAGTTTAAAAAGTCCAATTTGCTGCAAAGGGTTCTTATTTTTATTAAAAATATGTTCTTGTTTCTAATTACTTCCGAATTCCGATATGGCATTGGTACTTTTTAAGGAAATAATAATTATTATAATGGTAATAATGATAGTTCTTAGGATTTGGATTTAAAATGAAAGAGAGAAATGAGATAAATTTAAGTTTTCGTACTGGAACCTATGTGGAATCGACTCTGAATGTTGATTGATGAAAAAACCAGGAAATGAGAAAAAAAAGTAGAGGTTTTCATTTATTGTTTCATCATATTAGTTTATGGAAGTGGTAAAAGACGTAAACTTTTATGGAAGTGGTAAAATATGTAAACTTACTTCCGTTCCATTATACGGTTGTTTTTAGATTCGTTGACATGAAGTTTTAGTTTCTCATGTTATGGCCAAGTTGCCGTTCTTGACAAAAGGATGCTAGAAGGGGCTGATTTGTTGCAAACCTGAACTTCACTTTTGTTGGAGCAAAGTGGATGCAGTTCAAACTCGAACCTGCCTTCTCTCTTGTGAATTGATGTTTTCTTGTCAACATTGAAAACTGATAAATAATTTAAAATATATATATTTTGTTTCATTTACAGCCTTCTTTCAGATGCAATTCAAACTCGAATCTGCCTTCTCTCTTGTGAAACATTGTTTACATGCCCTTGTTTTCATGCTCAAAGCATTGAAAACTGAAGAAAATTGTTTCGTTTACAGCCTCCTCCTTGCAGATAAAAGAAACGTAAAATTCATAGATGTCAATTGGTTTTGGTTCAAGAGATGAGTGTTTCTAAGGGGTGTGCTCCCCCCCCCCCCCCCCCCCCCCCCCCCCGCGGCGGTAAGGCAATTCATATTATAAACAAATATATATATAGATTAATGAGGGCATGCTCACAGATACAGACTAAAGCCAGCAGAAGGCTAGAAATCTATTCTACAACTCAAATAAACATCACAAGGTGCTGAAACTATACCATGTATCACCTCAATTAGGAACACTAGTTTGCCTTGAGGATGGTTTCCTTAATTCGGCGGCTCAATGACTCTTTGTGTGATTATGTCTCTCTCTTCCAGACAACAACTAATAACTCGTCTTGACAGAAGTCCCTCAAAGCTGGAGAGGTGTTTACATTCTTAAAACCTAAATATCTTTCCCTTATATCTCTAGAGATATCATGTTTAAGCTTCCCTTATATGCATTGTTGAAATTTTGCTTGCTACTTAAAAAAAAAAAAATTATGTTGCTCCTCTCAGGCCACATATGATATACAATAACAGTTAGGAAGAATTTCTTCTTAAGTTATGGGAAGAATTCCCTCCGAACTTAGCACTAGCCCGCCCTAAATTATCAGCTCACTTTCTCATTCCTCCGTGCATATGATGATTGTTAAGAAGCCAATATCACCAGTCTTTGGTGATTGAGAGTAGCCGCAATGATGTGACTGCATCTCGATTCTGCAGAATACACTATCTACTCTGCTTAAAATTTCCTTCTCGTTGGGCACATATGTGAGGAAAGCTAATGAACATAAAAAATAGTGACTAGGTATAGCTTTATTGAAGCAAAGGTGCAGAGGAGATGAGACGAAGTAACTGGGAAGATGTCTCTCGAGTCACCCAAGAAAAGCTAATAAAAATGTACTATGTGAGGATGGAATCCATCTGATGGTGTCTTCTCTATAGACCTTTATTTTACCACCATGACTAAGGGCTATAAGAAGAATAGAAATTAGAAAACGAAAAGCTTCTATCTTCAATCTAGTTTTATGATTCATTCGATCCAAATAGATTTTCATTTTAAAATCATAATCCATATGCGCCACATCAAAGTTGCTTCATTTTAATCAACAACTTTTCATATGCCTACCTCCTCAGAAGTTGGGTTACACATCACGGCCAAGCAATATTCCTTTGGGACTTCTTAGCTTAGCCTTGACCAATTTCAATAAAATCAAGTGAAGCTCCATTTCTTTTTTTTGAAGGATAAGACTTCATAACATAACCACCCCTATATTGCAGGTTGAATATAGGTGAGCTTCACTTTAGACCAAGAGCTTTCCTTGAAAAGGTTTTTAGGGCTTCACTGGATTAAAATTGTTGGGTTCCGCTCCATATCAACCATGAGAGTTTGGACTTCTAACTCAGGGGCAGCCACGAGGAACACTCTGTAAGTCCTTTGAAAAATTGGCATCCAAATCACTGGGTTGGGGTTCTAAATAAGTCAATTTAGGTCGCTAGAAAGAAAAAAAAAAAAAAAAGAAAAGAAAAAAAAAAAAAAAAAAGGGTTCCCCAAATTGAAGCCAGCTTTGCTTATTAACCAGATGCGATGTCAGGCAAGTTTTTAATTGAGTCGAGCTTTTGCAGTTTCGTTTTAAACAATCTTAAAATGATTGTTAACTCATCAAATCAAGTTCAAGCTGAACTTAGTAATTAAGAGGTTTTAAAATATGACCCATTATCTCATGAGTCGATCTCAATAGAACTAACAATTAAGCCAATCACAAGCGAAGCTTGAGCTTGGTTTGTCTTATATTCTTATACTGGGTTATCCCATGACCCAATTTCTATAGTTTGGATATTGAAATTAGGCAACATTTTTGCTACATGCTGCCTCAACTAACATATACTAGTGTTCCCTTGTCTAAAATTTAGTCACAATGTGGAGTTTCGGCATATCCCCAGAGTTGCAATCGAAATGGAGTTGATTCCAGTGAGCTCCTGGCTGTTCAAGCTCATAATTATTGAGCTATGCTCAAGCTTGAGCTGAGCCTAAAAATAAATATTTTTGCATGCCAAGCTTAAGCTTAGCTCGTTAGGTTCATTTAGTCAATTTCTCAAGTTCAAAGTTAATCTCATTCTCAAGCTCAACTCAAGTTTGAGAATCAGTTACAATTCCTAACTTGTCCTAATGAACAATGCCTATTCATGAAGCTTAACATTATGCTATGTTTGGTTGGAGGGAAAGATTGAGGAGGGATGGATGAGAGGAGGGACGGATGAAGCTTTTCGCAAAGGGAAGAGAGGGAGGAAGCAAGGAGGGATGAAGCATCCCTCCTTTCTTCATGTTTTTCTATCCGTCCAATTTTGAGGGGAAGGGAGGAGAGAGAAAATTAATAAGTACCTACCATATACAATTTCCAATTTTAACCTTTAAAAAAAAATTTAAATGGATATCTACCTTTTATTATTTTATACAGTGAGGGTATATTGGTAAAAAATATATAAAAATTCTATTTCCTTTCTTTCCAACCAAACAAAAAAAAAAAAAAACTATCACCCCATCCATCCTTCTACTATCCATTCTATTAAACCAAACAAAAAATGGGGGAGACTCCTTCCCTTCCATAGGGATTCCTCATCCATCCCTCCCTTTATCTATTCCATCCATTTTTCCATCCCTCCAACCAAACGAAGCATTATTCATCAGTATGTTCACAGGCTAACAAATCGACTTAAAGGATGTTCAGTCTCAACTTATTTAATAACCAAGTCTAAAAATGCATTTCAATCTCAGGTTTTTACTTAATACATGATCACAAGTGGAATCTTTAACAATTCAAGTCTAACCTGTTCTTGAACAGATTGAAGCTCTATCTTTTTTATAGTATACCTAGCCTTCAATGGCCGTGTTGGAAGCTAGGGCTTCTAATCTTCAGTACTTTTTTTTTTTTTCCCATAACCGATACCTGATAACCTCCAGTTTATGTGAATTAAGCGCTTAATGGATCAAAACGAATTCCTAGATAGTGAAACTTTCGTATCTATTGACCGTAACTCTTAAGATAGTCCTTTCCAAATGTTGGAGCATCCCGTTATCTCCTTTTAAGGTTGATGATCATTTACTTTATCTTGCTATAGTTCATAATTCTGTTAATCTTTAATCAAAGATATTTATATATATATGTATATCCTATTATATCAAGCCTACATCTTTGTTATTCACTTTGAAGTGTTTAGTACGTCTTCTCCAAATCATGCTGCTCTATCCTGAACAGATTGAAGCTCTATCTTTTTTAGTATTTAATAACCAAGTCTAAAAATGCATTTCAATCTCAGGTTTTTACTTAATACATGATCACAAGTGGAATCTTTAACAATTCAAGTCCAACCTGTTCTTGAACAGATTGAAGCTCTATCTTTTTTATAGTACACCTAGCCTTCAATGGCCGTGTTGGAAGCTAGGGCTTCTAATCTTCAATACTTTTTATTTTTCCCATAACCAATACCTGATAACCTCCAGTTTATGTGAATTAAGCGCTTAATGGATGGATCAAAACGAATTCCTAGATAGTGAAACTTTTGTATCTATTGACTGCAACTCTTAAGAAGTCCTTTCCAAATATTGGGGCATCCCATTATCTCCTTTTAAGGTTGATGATCATTTACTTTGTCTTGCTATAGTTCATAATTCTGTTAATCTTTAATCAAAGATATTTATATATGTGTATATCCTGTTATATCAAGCCAACATCTTTGTTATTCACTTTGAAGTGTTTAGTACGTCTTCTCCAAATCATGCTGCATGATGTGAGCATCCGATGGGTAAAACAATTAAAAAAAAAAATGAATGGAAGAAGAACAACATGAGAAAATACAACACACACACACCCCAGTTGGCTTAATGAATGAAAACAGATTCCTAGATAGTGAAACTCTTGTATCTATAGACCGTAACTCTTAAGATAGTCCTTTACAAATATTGGAGCTTCCCATTATCTCCTTTTAAGGTTGATGATCATTTACTTTATCTTACTATAGTTTATACTTCTGTTAATCTTTAATCAAAGATATTTATATGTATATCCTATTATATCAAGCCAACATCTTTGTTATTCACTTTGAAGTATTTGCTACAGCTTCTCCAAAACATGCTGCATGACGTGAGCATCCAATGGGTAAAACAATTAAATAAATAAATAAATGGATGGAAGAACAACAACATGAAACACTGCATCCAAACAAGACTTTTGGCGATAACCTGCTATAGAATTGTAGCTTTAGATCTTTTCTTGATTGATAGCACCTCTGACCTTTTCTTTGAAATTAAAATCTTATGAATGCAGATTCTTTTACATAAATTTCCTATTTGCAGCATTTCTTGGTGAACTAAGTTTTCTTTGATACTAAAAAAAGAGTCCTTTTGCTTAGTTAATTGTGTTATCTCCTGAAATGTGTTAAAAAGTATAGGGGGGTTTTTGTTTCTTCAACCACTGTCTTTTCCACCTGATTCCATTGATGAGTTTTCTTAACCATGTGCAGCTTTCTCTGATTATTGTGATGTGCTAGATCAAATGCTGCTACTATTTTGATCTGACCAATCTATGTCTTCTAGTTAGTTCGTGCCATGTACTTTGTCGTGTTCGCCAATATCATCATATTCTGACCGAAGAAGAGGAAGGTGTATGTTGCATGCTTATGGATTGTTAATTGTAAATGTTTTTCATGGCATTTGAAACTTTTTGTGAAAGAGGCCTCCAACCCAACACTTCGAATATGGAGGAGGGTCAGTTAAACACCAATTGGGAAGACGTAATTTGTCCTATATGCTTAGATTTTCCCCATAATAGTGTACTCCTCCAATGCTCGTCTTATGACAAAGGATGTCGACCCTTCGTGTGTGACACAGACCATTTGCACTCAAATTGTCTGGACCGTTTTAAAAGTGCACATGGGATGTCTTCTGGGTCACAATCACCTTCAACTTCTGCGGCGCCCCCCACAGGAAACATCCACCAAATGCTTCCAGAAGCTAATGGCAAGCCATCTTGTCCCTTGTGTAGAGGTGAAGTTACTGGATGGATCGTTGTTGGTAAGGCTCGTCTTCATTTGGATGTAAAGAGGCGTTGTTGTGAAGAGAAACGATGTGCATTTATGGGCAACTACTTGGAACTTCAGAAACATGCTCAACTAGAGCATCCCCATGCACACCCTTCAAAAATTGATCCTGCTCGGCAGCTTGACTGGGAGAATTTCCAGCAATCCTCTGAGATCATAGATGTTTTGAGCACTATCCATTCAGAAAACCCTCGTGGAGTGGTTTTGGGAGACTATGTGATTGAATATGGGGATGATGACACTGGAGATGAGTTTGAGGACTTCCCTGGTGATGAAGGCAACTGGTGGACATCTTGTATCTTGTACCAGGTATTTGATAATTTTAGGACTTCTAGGAACAGAAGAAGGTCAAGAGCTGGTGATTCAAGAAGAGGAAGTCGCCATCCGAATTATGATACTTCCGTTTCTGACGACAGTTCTGTGACATCTTTAGAATTTGCAGAGTACAGAGTTGACGAGACTGACGATGAGTATGTGAATAGACATGGCCACTCGAGGGGGAGAGCTGGTCATCGCAGGTCAGTAGAAGTTTGTGTGTGGACATGTCCGTGTTATATATCACTCAATATTTACTCCTTTTTTTTTTTTTTTTTTTCCCCCCTTTGGAATATGTTGGTTTATTCAATATGTTGGTAATTTTCAGTGGGTAAGGTTCCTGACAACAATTTATCATGATTTATAACCTAGTGGTAATTCCTTACCTTCCAAAATAGAAGGTTTAGAGTTCAAGTCCCCATAAGGGCAAAGTGGGTGCATGAGTTTCTTGCGATGGTTAAAAAAAAGGGAAAAAAAGGAGGAGGTTCCAGTCAACAATTTGATTTATTTTGCCACATATATTTGCTTTTATAATAGAAATATATTAACTGGAATTGTTATAATCCAAGATCAATTCTCCATTATGCAGTGAATAATACAAGTATTATTGTCAAATTCTGTTGTTGCCAATTGGATTCATAATAGTACTGTGATTATTTTAATAACTACTCTCGTACACTAAAAGTGATAGTGAGCAGTGATATGTTTTTCATCTTTGTGAAGGCTTGTTGAAGGCAGATTTGGTTTTTTGAATATAATAAGTAGTTCTTATTTCTTGCATTCACACCAATCTTCTGATTTCTGCATACCTTTTTGTAATTAACAGTTCTCGAAGACGGCGCTCCCGCTTCCATGACAATTAGGTATGCACAGTCCGTGGATTCCCTGCACTTGTTGCAGGCTTTATTTTACTGTACAATGGCATCTTTGATGCTCCTATGTTGGATACAAATATTTAATCACATTTTTGACGTCTTGTATTACCCCTATATTTAAATGGAATTCAGTTATTCGAGTTCAAGTTACAATGTAGCAGTTGCACTCTTTAATGGTTTAGTTTAAACTTTCTAAGTCTGGCTATATATATATTTATATATATAATGGTCTCTTATATTGCTAGATGAACATGAATACAAGTGGAGTGAAGCTGTGGATAAGAAGATGACTCGGAGATGCTGATCCATTGAAAGTGGAAAGCATAGGCCTTCTTGCTGCAGCTCATGTTAGTGTCCAAAACATGTAAAGCTACCACCATCAGATCTATATATGCGATGATAATTTTTTTTTCCCCTATTTTTGGGGTAAATTTTAGGTAGACTTTATCTTTCAAGATTACCATAGCACCATATGGTGGTGGTTTTTTTTTTTTTGAGGTTTAATGTGGCTATTTTGTTATTTAGATTTCTAGCATCAAGTATATAGAACTTTAAAGACATGGGAAAAACTTCATACCTTTGGATGTCCTGTTCATTTGATAAATAACTAACTAGTTTGTGTTTCCTAAAATCAGAATTGAAGTTGATACTATTTACTAATATTCGCTGATTCTGTTGACATGGCAACTGATTGATTATGAAGAAATGGAATGACATGGATTTTGTACGTGTATATGATCATCACTGGGGAATTCAAGAAAACATTGAATCACTTATAATTTTCAAGTTGTCTCTCACTCTTCCGTAGCACTGTGTGTGTTCTAAGATTGCCCTGCGCTCATCAACTCTATTGTGAATGAGTTGGCAACTTGGCATATCTTAATTTGCATATTAGTTGGGAAGTGTTAAATTCTGAATTGTTCAGGATTCTGAAATGTCATGAGCAGCATTTGTTAATAATCACAGTTAAGGTCACCCAAACTTGGTCCTGTGAGGTGGGAAAAAAAAAAAATCTCTCCATCTCTTTTTGTCACGCTTTTCAAATTTCCGGCTAGTCTTTTGTTGGTTCCTTTGGATAAGAAAAATGTGAAGAAAGGTTATACAAATAACTGGTGGCACCGCATTAGACTGAGGCTAGCAACCAATAACCATGTTCCTTCAAGACCCAAAGGCTATCGAGTTGAGTCTAGCAAACAGCATTACGCAGCATTAGAACTTGCAGTGGATTTTGAACTAAAGATGCTCATCTTTTGAAATCTGATGGTGCCCGCGCACTTCAGTTCCATCCCCGCAAGGAACCAACAGTATAACTTGGGACGTTGCATCTGAGTATCACTTAATTAGAAGAGGCAAATGTTGCATGCTTCGATGCTACCCAACCATACCCCAACGCAATCTAGTTACTGCATGCAGAATCCGACAATGCTACCCAGATCTCAACTGGAAAATAAAATTTAAATGATCCGACAACGCGTGCACTTCAACTAAGACAAGAAAATAAAAAGACTGGACAAAATGAAATCGACTCCCACATAAAGGAAAGAGATGGGTGAACCCTTATTTTTTACTTTTATGACACATTACTGTTGAAAGGAAAATTTCACAAACATTAATGAAGGAATACAAACAAACTAAACAATGTCTGGAGATGAAAGGTTTTATCGTGAAGAGACGAAATAGCTAAAAAAACAATTAACTTTGAAGGATTAATATGGGACATTATTGGGGAGGTTGCGGATGACATTACTCTTCATGCCAATCTTAGAGCGCATGACCTCCACCCCCGACTTATTCATCTGCTTCATCACCTTCATCCGAACCATCTGCTCTCTTGACTGCACCGTTGCCAGCCCCATGCTCCTATACCTGAAATGAAAACATAATTTTTCCGTCACATTACAGTTTTATTTTATATGGTCTTTTTAAAAATATTTTAATACTAAAAATATCACGGTATTAAACTGACGAGTCAAACTATGAATTGTAGTGTTAGAGATGAAAAAGAAGAAAGAAATATCCCCATCTTTTTGCCAAAATTGAGTACGGAGGGATAAATAATAGAACTATTAGTTTAGAGAAACTCTAATGTAAGAAGTTTTAACATGTATAAGAATATAAATATATATAAAATTTATCGTTAGTAAAATTTGGAAATACTATAGACATGTTACAATACATTCATAAATACCAAGGTCTTAAAAAGAACCTCTAAAAAACATATATAAGAGCAACCATACTTTATAGGACAAAATAATTCACCGATAAGAAACAATAGATATATAAAATGAGTGTGGCCGAAATTTAGTACGGTAACAAATTATTAAAGTTAGGAATGAACTGGCTAGGATGAATTGGCCATGTGTGGCAAAGAAGAGTTGCATGGTTCTAATTGAAAAATGCTAGGGAAATGTGAATTGTTATTTAACTAAAGTTAAACTTTCTCTAAACAGGATACGTGTGGCCAACTCCATATGGCTGAGACAAATGTTTACTGAGGAGCTGAGTTCGTTGGGGTTTGTGTGGGGACAACATTTCTAAATGCTTTGGAGATCAGAAGTAAACCTTGAGGCTAATGCAGCAGTGATGGCAATATCATTTGTAGGTGATGGTCGCGGCTTTTGACGATAATACCGCATATATTCCCGGGATCCAAGTGCTTTCATTGATATCCCATCATCAGTTCTCCTGGTTATAACGAGCTCAGACCCACCACTTCCAAGTTCAACAGTGTTGCTCAAATCATCGGATGCAATCAGCTGCTTCCCATCTGCATCCACATAGCTACAAAAGAAAGCAACCCGCCTTATACATATTGACATAGCAACAACTGGTGATCATATAGATATTACTTAATAAGATAAACCTCACTTAATAAGAAAAACAAAAATAAAAACCTGCTGCTATAATCATAAAAGTCTTCCAACTCTGCTTCCTCGTCATCACCACCATCACCATAATGCACTTTGCAATGACTTTTTGCAGTCATATGCTTCCTAACCGCGTCCAAGCTGTTGAAAGGATGACATCTATCATTGCAGTACAAACACATGAAATCCCTTTTAACCTGGGGGAAAAAATGAGACCAGTTAAACAGACTTGTATGAAGAAAAAATAAAATAAATACCATCAGCATGAAAATAACTTATTACCTTCAGGCCAAGATAAGTTAGGAGGCCCTTTGGATCCTTCAGATACTCAACATCGGGTATGAAGAACCCATGCTGCTTGTGCATGTGAACCATACAGCTTTCTATTGTATCATGCTCTAGATCACACACAAAGCAACAGGATGGATCCAGCTCTTCTTCATCATCATCATCGTCATCATCCATGTCATCATTAGTGGCAAGCCCATTGACATTCAAATGAGTCAAAGAATCAGTTGCTTCACCAATCAAATCTTCCTCTGGGTCAACCTCCTCCCACTCATCACTTCCTTCACTGTCTTCATTTTCTTGCTCTCTTTGTTGGGGAGGCTGATTTGAAACACGGCGAGGGAGTGGCTTGATTATTGCATTCCCCTCATCTGGATGCCTTGTCCCTTGGGAAGCCCGAAGTATGTGACTTCGTGAATTTAGATGCTGCGCATGAGCCTTGGAACTTCTATATCCTTTTCCACAAAGGCCACAACTATAGAGCATTGGGGTCTCACTTAACTTTTTTTTCTCTTCAGAAAGTGCAGATTGTCTACCTAGAAACAGTGCCTCTGTCACTCCTGGGACTCCAGCAACCTGACCATGAAAATAATAATGAAGAGATAAATTGTTAAACAATGCAAGTTCATCAAATGCTATCTATTGCAGCAATGAAACCACATTTACATCTTTGTTTACCACTGATATTGCCAATACGGCAATCCAAGTCCTCTAGCTTGCTGATATGAAGACCAATATTGATATCTTAAGCACAGCCACAACCCACAATAATGGTTTACAGTCACAACCAAGTATATAAAATCTGGACTTCAATCTTTTATCTTCAAGTTCGTCAATAATTTATGATTGGCACAAAATATATTTGTCTAATAAAATGACATCCAATAACTGTTGCCTCTTTTGGCTACATTAAATTTGAAGCGAAAGAAACGGAAGGCCATATCACACTGCTTTATCATGGTGACTTAGAAAGGAAAAAAACATTGCAACAACCAAAAAGACCTGTTCACTTAACATGAAGCATATATCACAAAAACTATTTTGGAAATCAACACCATAAAAGTATTCTATTTTGGTCATTAACAAATAATTATTTCTTGGAATTGATCCTTAAAAAATAAAAAATAAAAATACAAATAAAAGAATTATCATTTAGATCATTTTATATATGTCACAGGTTAATATACCTAAATGATTGAGATTAGAAATAGTACAGCACCATTTTATCATCATGAACCCCATTGATGATCTGGTTCAAGATTCCTATATAAACACACAACATGCACACACACACACACTATCAACTATAAGACTCAACTCAAAATCCACTCACCCTTTTCAATGTCATGTAACTACTGTGCTAAACGGCTTTGCCAAGTTCAATGCATTTGGTAAGTTCAAGTCTTCAATATTTATATTTTACAGAATATTAGATGGATATCACTTTCCAAGACTTGTAATGTGAACATAATCAGTTCCATTTTTATGTACGCTATCCATTTTCTGCCGCAATGGAGCTTATTTTTTCTTCTCATCTCAGAAAGTTCAATTTTCAACAGCAATATTTTCCGAAAAAGCTTGTTCTGTAAAAAGAAAATTCAGGTCCAGAGACACTTTGAACCCCCATAAATTAATAGATGAGTTGTGACTTATGATACAGAATTATCTGTTGGATAAATAGACTCTTTTTGAAACAAATTTTCAAGAAATATTTTTGATTGAAATATAGACCTTAAAACACATAAACCAATTTCATTATCAAAATTCATGTTTAATATGCAAAAAAACGCGAGTCAGTAGCCACAGTCGTTGCTGTTAATAACACGATAGCATTCTCGTTCTCTTTTATGATACTACTTCAATAATGATTTTTCTTTTTCTACTCTCTTGAAAGGAAGTACACCTAAATATGTATATAATGAGTCCCCAAAAACATAAAAATTTATTTTCATTGTAAAAATTCAAGAAACTGTTTTCCTCTGAAACAAATAGAACTTATCAACGTAAAGGCAGGAACTGTACAGATAATAAATATGACCAGTAAACTCAAAACGATGAGACATAATAGATTATAAAATAATTCAAATACCAATAACAACCCTCCGTTTGTTTGCTAAGAAAACAGAGGAAAACAAAATGATATTGTAAAAAATTGTATGATATTCGTGGATCTAATCTTTGGAGACATGTAAAACTCAGCTCAAATAATGGGTATTCCAATTATATGAATACAAATGAACCCTAAACCTGGCACACCCAAAAGAAACCCTAAATTAAACCACAAAGAAGATGTGTTGATGTGCGTGTATATACAGAGAGAGAGATAACCAGACCTTGCGTTTAAGGTTGTAACGGTGCCATTCGGACTTGTAATGGAGCTTCTGCTCTGAATCGTCTTGAAATTCTTTGTTGCAGGCGTTGCAGGTCAATCCAGGCATTTCTCTTCTTCTTGTTTGATTCAATAATCTTAATTCAATTTAGAGACAGCAAGGGCGGATCCTGGAATTGTCAATGGGGTGGGCTAATATTAAACATAAATTTAATAACAAAATTTAAGCAAAAAAAGTTTTATAACATAATCTAGATAAATATTTGAATTCAAATATTACAAAATATCTATCTAAGTTGTGCTCGAAGGGTTTGTAAAGACTCAAATTCGTTGATAGACTCCAATATGTTGTGCTGATTTCTTTAAATTTCCATAAAGCATGGCGCATTTTCTATGTGGTGAAGATTGAAGTCCCATGTGTTTCAAGAATACACAATTATCTCCATCATTAACTCTCTTCCAATTGTAATATCCACCATCAATAAGTAAAAAACGACTCATCGTTGTATTTCTCTCTTCAAAGAGAAAGCATGGAAAACAATATGCTTTATCTTTTGAAGGAGAATACTCTAGCCAAGGAAAATGTTTGAACCATTCGTGCTTAAATTGCTTTCCATTCCAAAATTTAGGATAATTGGAAAGTTCAGGTTGATAAGGTCCTAAATTGATATAAGCTTATCTAATCTCATCCCTTTGATTCACCGGGTATTCATGTATTTGAATACGTAACCCGGGATCTCTTTCAATATAAGTGGAGTGGAGTGAGGTTGCTTGGGTTCAATAACTTGAGGTAGGGCGGGAGGTTGTGAATCAAGATCATTGTCAATGTTAAATGCACTAGGTATATCCATTTGTTTGAACTGGGGCTGTAACTCGGGAGGGTTTGAGGTCTAACTTGAGCCCAACCCACCGTATGAAATACTAAACCCAAACCCAACCCTAACCCTATCCTCAACCTTAACTACTCAACCAGAGCCCAACCCAACCTTCTACTTTTAAATTTGGGCTTGCAAGTCGGGCTTAGATTTCGTGTAAAAACTTCGGATTAGTTCGGGTTACTCATATGGCTAATCTTCACATCGAAAATTTAATATGATATTGAATTAGTTTTAGATTAAATTACTCTTAAACAAAAAAAGTTCAAAGACATTTTGTACATTTTTAATAAATTACATACAATAAGTTAAGATTTAACAAAAGACATAGTTGTTAAAGGCGCCGGAGGCGCGCGCCTGAGGCGCAAGGCGCCTCCAGGCGCCACCATGTCGCCTCCAATGGCTTAAGGCGCTGGGGTTGAATAGGGCGGCCGCCTTTGTATAACAGGCGCAAGGCCATAGGCGGGCGCGCCTCTTGAAACAGGGAATTTTTTATAGTTGTTTTGTTATTTTTTCAGTTTTGTATTCTTTATTATTTGTTTATTAATTGTTTATTATTACTTTTTATTTGTTTATTACACATCTTACGAGTTACAAAACGAAAAAATAAAAAGAAAACCAAAAGCAAAAGTGGAAAGAGACAGATCTGCCGGCAGCGAAGACGATATCTGCGAAGCTCTCGAATCTGCCGGCTCTCTCAGTCTCGGTCCTCTCATATCTGCCGGCTCTCTCAGTCTCGGTCCTCTCATATCTGCTGGTCAGTTCTCCTTCTCTCTCTCCTTCTTTCCTCCTCTCCTCCTTTTCTCTCTTCTTCTTCTCTCTTCTCTTCTCACCGAATCTCTGTCAGATTTTTTTTTTTTTTTCTCTCTTCTTTTCTTCTTCTTCTTCTTCTTCTTCTTTTCTTCTTCTCTCTTCTCCTCCTCCTTCTCTCTCTTCTTCTTCTCTCTTCTCTTCTCTCGTCAGAATGTCAGATTTTTTTTTTTCCTCTCTTCTTCTTCTTTTCTTCTTCTTCTCCTCCTCCTCTCTCTTCTTCTTCTCTCTTCTCTCCTCAGAATGTCAGATTTTTTTTTTCTTTTTCTTCTTCTTCTTCTTCTTCTTCTTCTTCTCCTTCTTCTCTCGGCTCTCTCTTCTTTCAGTTCTTTGAGTTCTTTCCTTTTGCTTTTGGCAGATTTTTTTTATTTATTTTTATGCTTGTCTAGAATCTCGATGATGTTGGTCCTCTGTTTTTTTGAGGGTTTTTGCGTAGTTGTTATTTCTGTAGATTAGTGCCTTACTGCCTTGCATGTGTTTGGTGATGCGCCTGATTGATTTTGTTTACTCCTTATTAAAACAGATAATAGAGATATACCTAATCAATCAATCATGGTGCTTATAGAAAATTAGATTGATTTGATTTGAAAATATAGCACATCCTTGATCAGTTGATCCTTGTGGTTTTTGCAAGATAAATTCATAATTTCTATTTAATGCATCCAAACATGGTGCTTGCAACTTGCAAAAACGTTTTTATTCGTACTTAAATCGTGCTTAATCAAAATTAGATTTGATTTGACTTAAAAGTAGTAATAGCACATCCATGTGATTTTTGCAAGATGAACTCAAATTTTCTAGCATCCAAACATTATTACAATCTTTATCTATACTATTGCATCTTTAATACTTTATTAGGTGGGTTTTGTTTTGTTTTTTTTCAACGTGCGCCTTACTTCAGTCGGGCGCGCGCCTCGCCTTGCGCCTCAGGCTCCAGGAGGCATTTGCGCTTTTGTGCGCCTTGAGGCTTTAACAACTATAACAAAAGAAGTTGAAAAGAAAAAAGATAATGATAGTTTAAATAATATATATAATATATTTTAAAGTAAAAATATATATGAAAATAATATTATAATTCGGGTTCGAGTTGACTCGGGTTGCTAGCACTTCAACCCAAGTCCAACCATAATTCAATTCGGATTGAGATTTTTCAACCCAAGCCCAACCCTAATTGTAAAAATAATTGCCAAAACTCGTAACAAATCGAATTGGGCTCAGGTTAGGTTCGGGTTTCCCAACCCAAGTTGCATCCCTAGTTTGAACCATTCACACTTAAATTGCTTTCCATTCCAAAATTTAGGATAATTGGAAAGTTCAGGTTGATAAGGCCCTAAATTGATATAAGCTCGTCTAATCTCATCCCTTCGATTCACCGAGTATTCATGTATTTGAATACGTAACCCGAGATCTCTTTCAATATAAGTAGAGTGAGGTTGCTTGGGTTCAACAACTTGAGGTATGGTGGGAGGTTGTGAATCGAGATCATTGTCAATGTTAGATGCACTGGGTATATCCATTTTCGATTGATCATCCTCACTCATTTGGCTTCTCTTTTGATAGAATGAGAGAATAGACATACTTTTCACTTTCTTGTTTGAAGGTAGATGTTGAACCATTGTTATTTTTAACCTAATAAAATTAAAGAATGAGTTAAATTAAAAATACATAAATCAAACTAAATTGCTAATATTCTAGATATAAGCATTTATCAATAAAAATAGAACGAAAAACTCAAATATTCAAATACTCCAAATTTGAGGAATTTTAATCGGTAGCCTAAATTAATTGAGGAAATGGTTCTTGTATGTGCTTGAGAATGCAAATTACAAAACCGGACAATTAAGAGTCCTAAGAAGAGTGTCCTGCTAGCATGTGAAAGAAGATCACAATTACCATAACACGGATGGAGAATCAAACGGAAACAATAATAACTAAGCATTGCCGATCATACAATTAATATAATATAAAATATATATATATATCTAAAATCAAGCAGTTTGGTCGAATGATCTCCTGGATGGAGTTTTCACTGGAGTTTTGTGTTATTGTGGTTTTTTTTTTTTTTTTTTTTTGAGCCAATTACCCCTTTCTTGATTTCAGGATGAGGAATCAACCTTAGTAGCAGTGATTGATTGATCATTGCTACAGAAGACTTCTGTGCAAATCAATAGAAAAAACTATTAACTTTTGTTTTGTGAAGTATGCGCATAATTTAGAGATAACCCACTAGAAGGGATCCTTAATTTTCGTAGGATTGAATGTGAAAATGCAAAAAAATTATGAGGAAAAGGGGTATGGTTGCTGATGTTGTGAGATTGGAGTGGACTTAGGGAGACGAAAAAAAAAAAAAAGATCGATTAATGCAAAAGGAGAGAGAAGAGAGAGAGGATGAACATACCTTGTCACGGTGTCACCTGAGAGGCTGAACCTGAGGCGATAGCAGAGGCTGCGTCCTGCGGAGTGTCGAAGCAGATTGTGTCGTCCGAAAAACTTGCCCTAAATTTGAGAGAGAGAGAGAGACGATTGAAGGGTGCGAGGCGCCTCTATATGAATGGAAGGAGATTGAGAGAGAAGGAGAAAATACGACGTCTTGTAGTCGGTGAAGACCCACCTCACCAGTTGCGCATGCGCCGAGTTAAGGCGTGACCCGGGTCCATTAACCATTTTTTTACCCGATCCATATATCTTTCAATAACATCGCTATATCATACTGTATATTAGGGCTGCAAGTTGGACCGGCTCAACCCAATCCAAACTCAACCCAACCTCAACTCGAATCGGGTTGGTTTGGGTCAATCCGAATTGTATCCAACATGGGTTATGATAAAACCCAGCCCGAATATTTTCGGATCGAGTTGACGGGTTGGGTTTTTAAAAATAATAATAATTTTTTTTTCGAAAATTTATATATATTATATAAATATATATATATATATTTGATTATATTATTATTAAAAAACAACAAAATTTTAGAGCAAATCATTTCAACCTCCACAATCGCAGGTCTTATTCTCAACTCTCTCTCTCTGCAACTGTAAACTACAAAATCTACAAGAATCATAAGTTCAAAACCCATATACTTTCAGATCTCAGTGTTAATTTTATTTATTTATTTTAAAATCCAGATGTGGTTCCTCCAAATCACCACCACCACTCGCCAGAATCTGATGCCAACTGCAGAGCTCTTCCTCCGTCGCCACCCGAAGAAGAAACCGTCAAAGAAGTACTCTCCGAGACACCCATTATGAAACCACCCATTTCTACACAGATCGAACCCACCAACAACAAGCTGCCTAAAGTCGATGAAGCCAAGATCTACCCAATGGTTGTGATTAAACCAACAAATGATATCATCTCTGAGGTTTCAGACTTATACAGTTTCAGAGAGAGTTTCTTGACGACGACGGTGACCGATAAAGGAGATGACGACGGAGAAGTGAACCATAGAGTCGAGAGGTCCCCTAAGAAGGTCTCAAAGAGACGGCCATCTGGCGAAATCGCCGGAGTGAGGGAGAGGAAACCCAAATCTCCGGCGAGGAGGCAGGCGCCATCGCTGAAAAGAAGCAACATTGCCGGATGAGTCCCTTTTTCATGTTGGGGACGGCGGCAGAGAGAGAAAGAGAAAAAAGGGAGAGGAGAGAGAAAGGAGAGAAAAAAAATAAATAAATAAAAATAATAATTAATTTTGGGTTTTAGATTGGGTTCGGGTTGAGCCTGAGCCCAACCCGAATATGTCTGGGTTTTAACAAAACCCAACCTGAACATGAACATGAACCTGATTTGTGAATTGTATGTCCAGATTTCAAAATTTCTGGGTTGGGATTGGGCTGAGTTGGGTTAACCCGCCCAAGTTACAGCCCTACTCTATATAGAGCAATAAAATTAATCAACACTTTTTATATAGATTGTTAGTCATTTTTTAAACTCACCAATATCATTTCTTTTTAACACAAAATAACTCGAATCTTATTTTTAGTTTCTATATTTAATTTTCCCATTACCACCTACTATAACAATAAAAGGTAATTATCAAAATAAAAATAAAAACTTTTGAAAGAAAATTAATATTAATATATATTACAAAAATTTTGTTTTTCTTTTATATGTTTATTTTAAAGAAAAACAATACCCGTATCTTTCAATTTTACAACAACAGTATGATATTATAGCCTTGTTTTTTAAGAAACATCTTCTTGTTATATTGTTCAAAATTGTTGTTCTTGGTATTCAATATTGTGTGGTCTTTTTTGCACGTGCATATGCTAAAATTTAAATAAATATACTTCTATAGTATAAGTAAATTTACCAGTAAATATACTGTAATGTTGCATTTTGGAATATCAAATTGATTCATTGAAATTGAAATTAAAGAAAATTTCATTTAAAATTTGAACAAAAGTTCTTTCTATTTCAGTTTTATTGAATCTGTGAATTTATGAGTTTGATTATTGGATGATAATGATGTACTGACTATGGTGGGATTATAGAATCCACCTCAGAAATAACAAGGTAACCCAAGAAAAAATTGGGTGAAGCTCTTCTCACAGCCTTATCCATGGAGAGTAATTATTTGTCCACACTTTTGTTCATGGATTCAAATTCACCCACGCACGAAGAAATGGAGAGAGATTTATATTGGTATTATTTTTCTTTCAAAGATTTATATTTTTATTTTAGTAATTACCTTTTATTGTTACATTAGGTGGTAATGGTAAAATTAAATATAAAAACTAAAAATAGGGTGAGAGTGGTTTTGTGTTAAAATGAAATAACATAGGTGGGTTTAAAAAATGACCGTTAGATCTAATAATCCATATAGAAAGTATGGATTAATTTTCTTGCTCCACGGAGAGTAAGAGATTAGGACTCATACTCTATATATATAGATAGAGTATGAGTCATAATCTCTTGCTGTCCGTGGAGCAAGAAAATTCTTCCACAGTATCTAATGGTCAAATTCCAAACTCACCTATATACTTTCCTTTTGATATAAAACCACTATCACAATTTCTAGTTTTTAAATTTAAAATTTATCAATACCATTAATTACAGCAATAAAAGGTAAGTATCAAACAAATAAAAATGGAAATTGCTTTATCTCTGGAACGTCTCACCACCACTAATCGAAATTTTTGTTTTCTTTAATGTCTTTGATAATATAATAATAGCAGTATTAAAAAAAACATTAAGAAAAACAACTAATTTACAAGGAATCGAAATCTGAAATTTTGCCTGGGGGCTTGACCGAGTTGGTAAGGTAATGATCTGAAAACGCTCATGTCCTATGTTCGAACCCGTTCATCGCCATTATAACTCTCGACTGAAATTGTTGTTGAGGTGTGGGGTCGTCGACAGCATCCCCGGTTTATAGCCTAGGGTGGGTCCAGAAGGGGCCCTACCCGGTTGAGTTCCGGTGCCAGTTAAAATAAATAAATAAAAAATATATATATCTGAAATTTTATAGAATAATAGAATTTTTTGTCTCCTCATTACGTCAATAAATTTTCGTTATTATAGTAGAATTAGAAAAAAGATTTTGTGTGACTTATTATGACATATGAGTAATTGGAATATGTTTATAACTAGTTAGAATCTGAAATAAAATAAAACAAAATTAACAAAAAAATGAAACAATTTGTGACAAAGGGGTTAGAGAAAACTAGATTGAATTTTTAATTTTTAAATAGTATGCATTTAGGGAGGTATACAATAATTTAAATTGTAATCTATTAAATTTTTTATGGGTGACGTGTTGTGCACCTTAAGTAATCAAGTGGATAAAAAAATAGAAAATTAATTTTTTATTATTTTTTAGTCGATGTTTTGTATGTCAATAGTGTAATTTTTAATTTCTTTTTCACACTCAAACAAATAAGCAATGTTAACTTTAGTATTAAGTCATGGATACAATTCTTTAATATTTATAATTTTTTTATTTAAAGAAAACAAAATTTCGATTAGTTGTAAGACGTGATTTCGAGAGGCGAAGAGATATCTATTTTTATTTTTTTTTGTATTTACCTTTTATTGTTATATTAATGATATTGGTAAAATATTAAATTTGGAAACTAAAAATAGTAATAGTGGTTTTGTATTAAAAGAAAAACATATAGGTGAGTTTAGAATGTAACAATTAGATTTAATCTAATGATCACTGTAAAAGGTGTGGAATAATTTTCTTGCTCCATTGGGAGCAAGAGATCACTACTCTATATATATATAATATTATAAATTTGCAAAACATTTGGGGATAGTTTAGTCTTTTAGTATATTTCTTTAGGTTAAAGTTTTTTTTGACAAATTTAAAGGGCATTTAAGTTATTTTATATGGCGTCGGATGTCTAAAGGTAACGATTAGGGTGTGAGTGAAAAACGGAACAAACATTTGTAGCACGAGTGATAGTAATTTTCAAAAATTGTTCAAATATAATATTTGGCCAAATATAAAGGGGAGTCAGTGAAATTAAAACTAACAATTTTGATTTATTTTTTTACTGTATATACATTTAAACCACTTTAATAGCACTTTAATGACATAAAAAATATTATTATAAAAGTGATTCAGAACACATAATAATTCATACATAATTTATTATTATAAATAAAAAAACAAGAAAATAAATAAAATAAACGCACAGACACACACATATGTTCTATTAATAATATAGATAAAAATATATAAATGTATATTCATAACAAAAAATTAAATAACGATGATATTAATGGAAAAAATATATATATTCATAACCAAAAAAATACAAACGAAAAAATACATTAAAAATGTATTTTAATGGTCTCCACCGTTACACTTCTTCATGCATTATAAATTAGAAAAAGTTCTAAACTTCACAAATGGTCTTCATCCGTTACACTTCTTCATGTTCTTGAAACTCATGAGATACCAAAAGTCCTCTTGATTTGCCTATGTCCTTTTCAACTTCGCTAAAGCAAAATGACTGTTTCTACTCAGTAGAGTTTTTTGTTTTCCCAAATGATTGAAATGTTCAAAGCTTTTAAAAATTTTCCTACATTTCTCGGCAACTGATCGAATACAGGGCAGGTATATATTGCTTTATACAATGTAAGTCTGCATATTGAAATTTCGAAAAGGGATAAATATCACTTCTGCTTTAATCATTTTTACATTTAGAACTTGCTATGATTTTTTGAAAGGATGCTTATAATGCAATGCAAGCATTTGAGAGGGTTATTTCATTATCTACTTATTTATTTATTTTATTGTTATTAATTTTTTTTACAGCTTTTCAAGTTAAAGCCCTGTTCAATTAGTAAAGAGGTATGAAATTCTGAAAATTAGTTGGAGCTGATCAGTTCTCTCATCTAATATATGGAAAAAAATGAGTTTTTAATGTATCTTGATTTGGCAGTATAATGTTTTCTCATTTTCTTATTTGTTTTACTTAATTACTTGAAAATATGGTACACTAGAATCTCTTATTTGAAGATTATTCTCTGTATTTATCAAAGTCATACTTCGAAAGGTTGATACACCTGTAATTAGTAAAGTAGTATTCACAATTTACAATTTGATTGGTATTTTTTATTTTTGTAAATTATCT